AAATAAAATAATTTTATTTATTGATAATAAATTGAATAAACAAAATATTCCAAACTACGGCACAAATATTTTCAGTGTTTTTCAAATAAAATACTCTTTGAAATATTATCTCAAAAATTTATTACGACGAGTACATTATTTGATTTTTAAAAGTACATTCTTTCGAACGAATAAAATATTTTATTTTCAAAAATACGTGCATGATCCTGTCTCTTATACACATCTAGATGTGTATAAGAGACAGAATCGTTTTTATTTTAATAACATAAAACATAAAATAGAATCTGTCTCTTATACACATCTAGATGTGTATAAGAGACAGAATCGTTTTTATTTTAATAACATAAAACATAAAATAGAATCTGTCTCTTATACACATCTAGATGTGTATAAGAGACAGAATCGTTTTTATTTTAATAACATAAAACATAAAATAGAATCTGTCTCTTATACACATCTAGATGTGTATAAGAGACAGAATCGTTTTTATTTTAATAACATAAAACATAAAATAGAATCTGTCTCTTATACACATCTAGATGTGTATAAGAGACAGAATCGTTTTTATTTTAATAACATAAAACATAAAATAGAATCTGTCTCTTATACACATCTAGATGTGTATAAGAGACAGAATCGTTTTTATTTTAATAACATAAAACATAAAATAGAATCTGTCTCTTATACACATCTAGATGTGTATAAGAGACAGGATCATGCACGTATTTTTGAAAATAAAATATTTTATTTTCAAAAATACGTGCATGATCTAAAATAAAATATCTATTTACTATTTGCCATTTATAAAGTACTATTTTACCCAGCACTGCAGCCAGTTCAGCGTCGAAAAGATTCAGCAGAAAACCCGCCGTCCAAAGCATTCAGCAAAAACAGTTGCGGGAATTTAAACAATGGTTACGAGACTCTGTTGTGGACGGTACCATGCGTCGCTCGACACGGACACAACGTGCACGTGAGATAAAACAACTCCGCGGATAGATCATATCCCTCGATCCCTCGCCGCAATAATTTTGTTTAATGATGTTCCAGTTGTTTCGCGCTTTACACGAGATGTATACATATATACACACGTGTGAGACTCTCTTCCTGCTTACCAACACTTCCACACGCGAGTTTTGTGTTTTCGCTAATTCTAATTTGAAAATTTCGGTGTCATAAAATTTTATTTTCGCAGTATATAGCAGAAAACGGAAAATACAAATTGGAATTTCATAGTTTCATTTAAACTGTTAATGAATTTCAGTCCTTTCTACTTCCATGAAATTATTCCAAATTACATATTGTGAGAAAGAAGAAACCACAATTATTAATGTGAAAGTGTATTAACATTAGCACAAGCAGAAAGAAATAACAATGGAATTAAGTAGAAAGTGAACCCTTCGTACATCGAGTCTGTATCTGCTTTTATTCGTCGTTAATTAGAAACATTTCACACATCGCATTAACATCTATAATATTCATTTTCTATCCTAATACCAATTTTCCTGAATCCAAGAGAGATCGATTTCCAAACTTTTAACACTAAAAGCAGTTAGCTTCTGTCGTTTTACGAAAATACCAAAATTTATTTATAAATGATGCTTGAATAATTATTCAACCATTTCACCCAGATTGATCTCTACAATTTAACTAATCTTAAAATAAAGTACGTATACAAAGTCCTTCACAACCACTAATGATAGATTTATTAAATCGTATTTAGACTTATTTAAACGTATTCGAAAGTATACACTCCCTTCCAAAAGGACACTCACAGAAAATTAAATAAATTTGAGAAACCGATAGAAAATTTTTACGATTTCTTCAATTTATTTGAAAGTTAATTGTATGAAACTGCAAAAACTATATATACTTTTGCCCACATTTTTTTGTGCACTTCTGTTAATCTGGCAAAAAATGTTTCAAATTATACTAAATAGTTTATACTAAATACAATTTATACTAAGTCAGCAAGTGTCCTAATATTTTTGGAGATGGGTATATACACATTTCGAACAGAAAGTGGCGCTATTTATGCGAGTTAATTCCCGCCAAGGAATAAAATCGACGATAAATTTTTACAACTAATATTTTATCCGAGCATTGCTGAGAAATGATTCGGCCGTGCAAAATAATTCGTTGGTTGGTGAAAAGTTGTATCCACGACAGTCGGAGTCCCGGCTTTCACAGCGATTGTTCGTAAAGCGGTGTTCGCACGTACCACAAACGGGGAACCTATTTTTATTGTAGGCTCCTCGCGGTGAACTTGATCGACGATTAAGGTTTAATGGCACTCGTGAAACCAATGGGAAAAGCAGGGACCAAAGCGGTTTCGAGTTAACGAGAGCGTGCACAAGATACAGTGCAGACTTTTACGCGGCTTACAGTCCACGACAGTCCCGTTTCCTATTCTTTCTTTTTGGATTTTCAACGTGATGTATCTTCTCCTTTTACCTACTCCGCTTTCTCCTCTAATTTTCCGAATACCTCAAACTTTTTTCTACGGTTGGATAAGTCCTCGTTTATGTACTAGGTTTAACCATAAAGGACTTCCGTTTCCCATTAATTAAACTCTGCGACGGTCGATGGCAGTTTACGATCGAAATCAATTTGACGCGCATTATAAATAATTATTTACTCTGAATAATTGCTGGTCAAGCTTAACAGTATTATCCTGATTGTTTTTTTAACTTCTATTTAGCGATGTAGTCGCAGGTCAATTTATCGGCATTCTCATCGGTTTGTGATAAATACCGACTTTCCACAGGAAATTGATGCTCGATGACAAACTTTCAGGAAGTAAATCGAAATTTGTACACGAGTTTTATTTTCTGTGTGTCCACATTTACTTTCATATGTAAAATTTGATAACAGAAGAATTCGGTTTTGCTTCGACTTAGAAGAAATTAACATTCGTATTTATGTATGAAATCTGTCACGAGTTTGACGCGTTATTATACATAGTACATAATGTTGATACAGGCTATCCCAAAAGTCACTCGCAATTGGGAAATGAGAGGTTCCCGAGGTCATTTGAAGTAACTTTTTCTTTAACGCGAATGCAATCCGCTGCTTTGTTTACGAGTTATTAACGAAAAACACCGACCAATAAGAGTGTCGCTCATTGGCTCCGTCGCCTCGCGCCAGCTAATCTCGTCTCTCATTGGTCACTGTTTGGTCACTCATTTGATCATTATAATAGGCCTGATATATGTACAAATATGTAAACTTCCACTAGAAAGATAACCAAATATTTAACGAATTCTAGCAACACCAAACGCTTTTGTATATTCCTGCACAAAAAATGAGGAGACTGGTTTTATTCATACCTTGTATTATTTTTACTGTAATAATATGCTATTGGAGAAAGTTAGTGACATTAAAAAAAATTGCTTGCCTTTTAACACTAAACGGACGAGTTTTTTTTCCTGGCTCGTCTTAGGAATTCAGATTAAAAAAACAAAAAATTCAGCAATTTCGTTCATAATTGAACAAATTATTTGGTTTAATAATTAAAATATTATCGAGTTCATTCTACGTATAGCACAATCATTAAAAGCCTATTAATAGGCTTCCGTTAAACGAAGTGTTAATAATACCCTAAAGATTTAGATCTCTCTTCGTCACCCTTTTGTATAGTTTACTTTTGTTTGGATATCGCAGCATGGGATCAACCGAAGAAAACAATTTCAGGATGTTGGTATTGCTTTGTCTGTACCACAGTGTCGATCTATTGTTCAGAAACGAGCTTGTCAGTTTCGATCCTATTACAATCGTAGATGCAAGTAACGCGCAGTCTCTGTTGGCTCTGCCAGATCGGTGAAAGACAGAGAGGCAATGGGAATGGAAGAAGGAGAAGTGGAATGACGGAGCAACATATAAAAATTCTCGGAATGCAGTTACTTTCATTTATGGCCTAATCCTTAGGATTCGTCCACAGTGTTGGCTCAGGTTGCAGCGTTAGACGAGCTATCCGGTTTATAGATTTACGTTTGTGCAGAGCACTTAAAAGCTTACCTCTTCCGACTTCCATGCCTCGGAGTGTGTACGTCATTGTTGTGCAGTGTTTTGCTCGCTAGTAACAGGTGTACGGAACGTAGAATTGAAACGTTTCAAAATTTTGTTATTTATTACCTAGCTATTAAATTTATCATCTAATCATTAAATTTTTTTTTAGCATCTATTTATTAAATTTACCATCTGATTATTAAATTGACTACCAAATTATTAAATTTATTATCAAATTATTAAATTTACCATCTAATTATTAAATTCACTATCAAATTATTAAATTTACCATTTAATAATCAATATTACCAAATTATTAAATTTACCATCTAATTATTAAATTTATCATCTAATTATTAAATTTACCATCTAATTATTAAATTCACTATCAAATTATTAAAGTTAACATCTATTTACTAAATTTGCTACCAAGTTATTAATTTCACTATCGATCCTGCTGTTCACTAAAAATCTTGGGATTCACCAACTACTCAGCTGTAACGAATATCATTTTAGGCATACCATCATCATTCTTATCCTTCTCTTCAGAAACCTGCTCCAAAATTTTTCCGCGCGCCTTTAACGCAACCATGTTATTTTCTGCGTGCCTTTCAATGCTCGAAAATGCATTGTCAGATATTGGAAAATATGGATAACGATTCTGCGGTATAACCTGTGATAAAGATTCGTATCAAATAAAAATTTGAGTCGTTAATGTTGCAACGATAAGTGTAATTAAAGAAAAGAATCTTCTAAGCTGCAGCTGAGTATGCTAGAGTACGTTGCAAAGTGCACTGCTATACGCATTTCAATTACTAAACATTTATGCATGGAAATTATATATTCGCAAAAACTTTAAAAATTAAATTACAAATACACTTTCTGTGGAATTTTTTGTTGTTCAATGCTTACTTTCTTAATGCACATTCTGTGTTTACATTTCGCGCGATAACATAAAACGAAATTTACCATAATTTCTCTGTCTGTTTCAGATATGGGAACTGGTGGATAGCAAAACGGGCTACCTGGCCAGGAGCGGACTGTATAAAGGCCTTGCTCTAGTCGCGTTTGCTCAGCAAGGGAAACAACCAAGCGACAAACTTTTGGAGAACTCTGAGTCTCAAGGTAAACCAATCTTTTAACTATCTTCCAACCAGACCAAAAAGTTTCGATCACTTTTCTCGAGCTTTAGTTCGAAGTTAGTAACGAACTTTAGGTTCGTTATTTCGATTCGAATCTTCTACATAAAGTTGATGAAAAAAATATTTCTTCTGAATGATCATGTAACCAAGATTTCGAAAACGGGAAAGAGAGAGAGAGATAAATTAAGATTTTATATTTCTGTGAACTATTTCATTTAACTGCAAATGTGACGATTTCATGATGAAGTTTCATGGATACCTTTATTCGATAGATATTTATTTGTCCTGTTCTATACTCTTTATATTGATATTTTGATTAAGAAGAGAATGAGTGCAATTCTATTTCTGCATTTATATTTTGGTGGAATAAGGAGATGAACAGATTTTTACATTTATATTTTTGTGAAATAAATAATAATGAACAGATATTTTAATAAAATAAATAATAGACAGAGTTTTACGTTTATATTTTAGATTTATATACATTTATATTTACATTTATATTTTAGATTTATATAGGTTTATATTTACATTTATATACATTTATACATATTTTGGATGTACATATGATAATGGACAGACTCCTTTGATCGCAATTGGCCATTTAGAAGTCGTTTCCTTGTAAAGACACTAACATCTGAATGGAGAAATCAGGTTTTTAATGATGGAACTGATCAAAGCAGCAGTTACTTTCCTTATCGGTGAAAGACGTACGCTTATCACGGCTGGGGGAGATTTGCCGGAAACGTGACCGTTTTCCTAGCAATTTCTCTTAACAGGATTGCATATCTATACTTTGGAAATTGATTGAACTGGAAACAGCCTTTCCGTTCGACTTTCGACTTCTAGGATGTTGAGTTTACTTCAACTAGCCTACTTAAGCAAATACGTACGCGTGTGTGAACACCGTGAACGCACACAAAGTAGTCATCTTCTTGTTATCTCATCTTGATTCTTTTCTAAAAAAAGAACTTATATGTATATTCACGAAAACTATATTATTTCTTTCAATGTATGGTCCTCACGCAACAAGAAGGCACCTTTGTGTTTACATTTTCCCTCTTACTAGCTGCGGCAGTAGGGTAGCTAGTAAGAGGGGGAATGTAAACACAGAGGTGCCTTCTTGTCGCGCGAGGACTATACTTGTTATTGACAAGAGCAGAAATTGGCTCTTTTTTGTAGTTGTTGACAATCAGTAACTACAAAAAGCAACTATACAAAGCAACTATTAGTAGTAACAGTAGTAACTGTACAAAGCTCAAATAAACGTATCCCCTCTTCTCAAGTTGTCCATTTTCGTTTCCAAGCTGAGCGTCAATTATGGAGAATTTACCGTATTTTTGTTTGAAAGTTTCTAGGCTTCGGAATTTTTCATTTTTATTGAAATACAGCCAATCCACTGAATTTAACGACAATAATTGTGAAGTTCGTAGATTATAAATGCGATAGTTAATAGCTTTTAATATTATAACAATTCTCAAATAAATAGAACAAAAAGTATTGTATTTTTATGTAAACGTTGGCAAGCTGTTAGTGATATCATGCACAAAGAATGGCAACATTTGAAATTAGTACAAGCGAAGGACAAATGGTTGCAAAAGAAAACGTTTCAGAACTCAATGTCCGGAATTCTAAATAGTAATTTCACGCAAAATTACCGTTGATACCTCAGCGTCACGTTTATACGGGTTAACGTGGTGGGAAACGCAACTGCGAGAAAAGTGACTGGGAATGAGTTTCAACTCCGCTTTTATCGTGGACACGTAGCAAAGTACCGTAGGTCAGGAAAGTCTTCTCCGGTATCGAGGTTGCGGCTACGACAACCATTATCATTCGCATAGTCGAGCAACAATACCATGAAGCAAAACACTCTGGCCTACATTCCATGCAACAACACTATCAACGAAGACGTTCACCCCCTCCAAAAGTATTAGGACACCTGCTGATTTAATATAAATTGTAATTTTTCATTCAGATTAGCTAATGTTTTATGTTTGGCATTGCACATTATGTATAGTATGTATAGTAAGTGTATTATTGCATCGTACTGTCGAAAGTACATATTAAATTAGAACCATCTATCACTTATGCAATTAGTTCTCCCATTTATTATATCTTGTCCATTGAAAACGTATGCTGAGTTCATTTTGTACGATATGTTTTTGAAATATGCGGAACATGCAACTAGGGAAAAATAGATTTTTGAAATAATAAATGGACTATAAATATTTGTATCTTCTCATGTAATACGAAATGGCAAATAAACTTTTTCTGAAATAGTAATTACATATGAATATTACGTAGTTAAATATATTAGAAAATGCTATTTCCATATGTAACTACTATTTCAAGGAAAATTTATTTGCTAAATTCTGTATTACATGAAAATATATAAACTATTTCAAAAATCTATTTTTCCCCAGCTCTGCTACATATGCATGCAACCAAATAGAATCAGAAATAATAAACATACTAATAAAACTGATGCCGAAATTAGTCCAAGAAATAATTAAATAACACGGTGGATATATCGACGAAATTAAATTTTCTTTTATAAGATTGACCTTATTTTTATGAGAATGTAAAAAATATATATGTAGATATATGTACTTGTTACAGTTTATTACAATCAACTTTGAAATAAATTGAAGAAATTATAACAATTTCCTATCGGTTTCTTAAATTTATTTAATTTTCTGTGAGTGTCCTAATACTGTTGTAGCTTACTGTCTTCAACATATTCTAAGTTGAGGACCAATCCGTTCTTTTCACAATGTACTATTTATTTTCACGCGAAAGCTGCTTATAAAAATGTTTAAGATAAAGTAAAACAAGGTCAAATTGAAATGCACCAGAAAAAGACTATAATTCACAATGTTCCTGAAAAGATAATTTCAGAGCTTTGAATTTATTTCCGAAAATTAGTAATTGGTGAAAAACTTAAAACTAAATACTTATATTAAAATTTTTATTGTTACATTTATGTTTCTTTTGTCCTCGCCGCAGAATTACCTATACCCGTCCTCGGTGACCTATCGGAGGTAACACTTTTGGCTCAAAGATTGCACAAAGGCAACAATCCGGCGAAATTGAATCTTACGTACACGGACATTTGTAACTTGGACACAATAGAAGTCAATTTGGTGCCTGAGAAGAAAGGAATTTTTTTAAAACACGTGGAGTACCAAGTTACAAGCAAGGTAGTTCTTTTACGTTATATATTAATGCATAGAACAATCCTGACATAGTTAGATCAAGCTAGTTACAGACGATGTCCAAAAAGAACAGCATCTTCTCGACATAATAATATTTATACAGTAATGTGTATTGAATAATATTTATACAACATTATGAATTGGATAATATTTATACAACATTATGAATTGAATAATACTTATACAACACTGTGGGCTCCAGAATATTTCAATAATCTCTTTAAATATTTCTATACGGGCTGTGTGTGAAATATTCAGTCCTTATTGATCCATAGAATTTCTTTAATAACTTAGAAGATTGTATAGCCAAGAAAAATTAATTATTACGAATAGCATGCTCATTATTGCCTCTATTCTCTGTTTACCCCTTTCACCACAGTCAAGATTCAGTTATCCCCTAAAACAAAATTACTATTGAATACAAACATTTCCGTAAAACATAAAATTCCAGGAACCGTACTAAGACCTACGACTTCCAAAAATATAATTATTGCATTTTTGTCCTTTTTTATCCATATCTGTAAGTACCAACACTTAGAATAAAGAATTTAATAGAAAACGTATTCAGTGGTGAAAGGGCTAAAGCGTGGACGACGATTGCGGGGTAATATGTTGAAAATAGTTTTTATTTTCAGAGATTTAATTCCGTCGTTTATAGACGTTACAACGACTTCGTGTCGTTGCACGAGCTTCTCCTGGCGAGGTTTCCATACAGGTTGATACCAAAGTTGCCGCCGAAAAAGATCGTGGGAGGTAATCCTTTATTCAACATTCTACATCACTCCATCATAAAATAAAATCCAATATTTCTTGAAGATACAAGATATTCAAAGTGTATCTCTCTTATGGTAACACTTGTTGCTAGCGTGCGATTTTTCGGACAAATTCTTACTTGCACTGTTTTAACAAAATCTAAAGGAGGGAGGCATTTTCTGCAGCTAGAAAATTCCTTGTTCCAAACATAGAATGCTAACACATAAAGATCCGTTATCTATTTAACCCTCGATTAGCCGACGTAAATGAGTAGCTGAATTTTTAGTATACTTGCTTCGCACCTAACTCTTTGATACAGGGTGTCATCTAATGACCTTTGTAGGAGAGGAGTTCGTTAGAAAAATGTAAAATTTAATAAACATAATATCTATTCATCAGCAATGTCTTAAGATTGTTTTGGAGTAGTCGCGTTCCCCAAAGATAGCCCTATTCGAGCCGCTTCAGTAATTCCTATTTGTCGCAGCGGACTCTCAATTCCTAGAAGAAAGAAGACGATCCCTCTTGAGATTCCTCACGGTAATCGCCCGTCACCCGATAGTGAGCAATGACCATATCGTACAATTTTTCTTCACCTATACCGGCGAGGAAACCCAGCACAAGATCCGCGAGGTGTTCAGGAGAGTTCCGGACGAGTTCGCCACTTCGGAGCTGTCCTCGAAAGCGAAAGAACTGGTACCGCCGGAAACGTTGACCGAATTCGCGAACAGCCGCGATCAAATCCGGGTGATACTGTTGGGGATCTCGCGGTTGAAAAATATCACCGATTGTTTGGCGATCAGGTCGCACAGCTATGCCGTGGACATGGCCGAGCTGGGCACCCAGCTGAGCAACTTAGCCTCGGAACCCCATGGGACTACTGCTTGGGCCACTGGCGGATCCACCATTTGGCAGGAGATGAAAAAAGGCTTCCACATTATTTCGAAGTAAGTGAAATTGTAGAAGCTCGTCTTAACATATTGTCTAAATCGTCTTTACAGACATAACTGGACTGCGGATTTATAATAAATATTTAAAAAAAAAAACTTGTTAGTAGGCCAGTTAACTCTGTCGTTTTACGTTTCTTAGAGTACTAGCTACAGCACCGATACAAGTCACTTTTGCTAATGTTTCGATGGTTTATTCGAATGAGTAAAGTTTGCCGAGGGTTCTAATTATCGAGAAAATTGTGATTGCAGAGAATTTAATTTACTCTCGACAAGAGCCCTTCAGCAAGCAGTCCGGGAAGAGACGATGGTCTGCGAGAGGCTGAATCTCCTTCTGGACATTCTGGTGGCGCACAGAATACTTTGCGAGAGGCACGAACGAGGAGTCAGCGCTGATCATCAGCGTGCTTTGTCTACCATGCTATCGTTAAAAAAGCGACAAATGCAAGGAGTCATCCGCGGCACTGATGTAAGTATTAATGCAAACCTGTTGAGCGACAGGTGATGATCCACAGCCTGAGATACAGGTATATTTATCCGGTGACTTAACTTGCCTCAATCTTGCCGTGTACCAGTCATTACGTGATTACTGTGAAACTGCTCAAGGTCTCTTAATTTAACAAGAGACAATATGTGATAACATATCATCTCGTTCCTTATTGTCTTACATAATACAATAAAATTCGTGATGTCCTTTTTACAGTGTTCCGCTAACGCGGTTTTTTTTCAGCGACTTCCGCTCTACGTTTCCGATAAGATTTTCTTATTGTTTATAGACTGACACTGTCGAATACTTGGAAAACAAGATGGTCGCCCAGGAATCGGTTATCGCGAACGTTGAACTGCGAAATTGTTTTTCGTTGCACTGTTTACACATGGAAACGCAACTCGTTCATGCACATTTAGAGATATTAGCTACGGTCTTACAGAGTCTTGTGAACGTTCAAATACGGGGCCATTCCGAGGTAAGATTATTCGTTTGTTGACACTCCATTTTAGGAAATATTGGTCATTAATTTAATCGTTGTGACATTTTATGCCATCGAAAACTGAGGAAACGGTAAGTTCCTACGAATTTTTGTAAGTTCTAGAAGATTTTTATGGTAACTCTCCTTTGGTCATACTGATGGTCATATACATACCTACGAAAATGAAAAGTCTCGATAGATAGAGAAAATGAAAGAAAGTTCCTCTGGAACTTACAATGTAATTTTCACAGTTATAATATAAACGTAAGTAACGTGATAACAATAAACGTAATATGTAGATAAGATAATCCGAAAACTACTCGATATCTTTTAAAATACTTAGTAGTGTGTATTTACATGATTTTATTATTAGGATATTATTAGGATATTTTAGTTTTCTATTATCTTTGTTCAAAAAGTTATGTTTTTACCGGAAAATGAAAACGATCTAAAATATTTGTTCTTAACATAAATTTATGTTAACTTTCATACTTGATCATAAATATGTCTTAAATATTTTTAAATGATAGATTGGTACACTAAAATATTAAATCTTAGTTATTTTTACTTTTACAATAAATGGTAACATTCTACTTAAACAATATTTAAATTAACTCAAATATACATAGAGTATAAATAATAACAAAATGATGTATGTGTAAAATTCTTTCGACAGACATATTAGTCCCGCATTTTATTCAACTGCATAATTTCCCGAGTCAGTACCCAAGTAATTGTTCTTTCAAATGCTGTAGCTTGCTGAGGTTTGGAAATTAATAGAGCCAACGATCATGAAGTGTTTACCGGAGAAGTCGACGAGCGGATCGAATGGAATCTCATAGGGCAGTGAAAGTTTCTTCTGTGGCAAACAGTTCGTGTTTTGTGTTCAGATCGTGACGATTGGTGTGCAAGTTATAAGGGTATTGATGAAACCGAGACTCGAGGATATTTTTCACGTATAGCTGTAAGATATATGGATATCGAGTTCATAAAGCGTTAAAGCTACCTAATCAAGATACCGCACACATGTTACACGTAACGTTAATAAATGGAAATCATTTGTAACACAAATCGAGTGCAATATAGATCACATCACATAGTATGTTCCAACATACGGGATATTCCAACGTGCGTGTTATAAACTGATTTTTACGAATTCATTAATAATATAAAAATTATATTTTTCTAATTTTTATACTACTGGAAAAAATAAATTGTTACATACAATAAACGTGTAAAAGGAGGGTAACTTCAATGTCGTGGATAAAATTGAGAGATAAATCTTCAGTTTAATAATTTTAATATAATAAATATAATCGTTTTTATTAATAATTGTCCATACGTTAAATGCTAAATCATCAACATAAAAAATATCACAAAATAAAATAATTAAGATACTACAAATCTTAATAAAATGCGGATGATGAATTGTGTCACTCATATATGACCAACGTGGTAACCAATGCGTTAATATGTTCGTAAACATCGAATTATAGTACTCCATGAAACATCCTGTATGTAAGGCAAATGAAATTCAAAGACTCATTAAGCATTCCTTGTTATGTACTTAATATATTTTATGATCTAATTAGACGATCGCATGCTATTATGTATATATTAAGTCATGCTTTTTCCTGTAAAAGCAATAGACAAGTAGATGTGTATAAAATAACGAAACAACTGTAAATAATATGGTTATTGAGATACTATGTTTTTATATGAGTTAGAAGTCTGACAAGTGTTATCATTATTCTCCTGTACCATGTTGATCGTGGATGTGCAGAATATTTTACACACATTTATAATACGATACTCTCCTTTGTATAACAACAATAAAATATATTGTTATTATATAATCGCATTAATTTATTTTTATATAGTATTCATGTTAAAAATAATATTTATGTTCATGAGAAAATTGTTTCTTAGTGCAGTTAATTATAACAGATTTACACATAACACATAATACTTAAGAATTACTATGCTTAAAAACTGTTGTATATAATAATAATGACAAATAACGAAACTCGGAAATACAACAACAATTTTTATTATTTTAATTGGAATGCATACAATTTGTTACCTATTTTAAGGTGTACTTTTTTCACATGTATATATCTATCTTCTGCATATTCAACCAAATATTGATTCAATTTATTTGTTAAAGAGGGTGTAAGATCATTTAAAATTGCCGTTTCGTCGCCAAGGCACCATAGAAAGCTGATGTGGTATGAAGAATCCTATAAAAAAATTCGTTTTCTAGAATTTCATAGAACAAAATAATTAAACAGTCCGATCATGGGGCATTTGTGGAAATGAAAGTTTGCAACATATTTATAAAGAATTTTTAATGAATAGAATGAGTTATGTCAAAATATTTAATTGCGAAGAGGAACAATTTGACATATTCTTGCATCATCATAATGGAAAGATTGTAACTAACATAATATTGGGAACGTTAATACATTATATATAAGCTTCTTTTGACATTAACATAATTTACTTACCTCGTAAAAAGGTGGCAACTTATACTCAGCAAGGGAATGATTAAGATTTTTAACAAACTGTCCCAAAATTCCTTTATCATCAATACATTCTATCCCAAGGAATGTACGTGTCCTATCTTCATTACAATATGCGCGTACATTTAACAATTCTAAGCTAAACTGACTGATCTGCTCACATAATTTTTTAATTTCTTCTACGAAGGAATCAATCCAATGGAATTTTAATATTAAACTTCTTGTAATACTAATATGAAACTCTTCAGAAAATAGATTATATTTCATTGGCAATTCTTTTAATACTGACTGCATCCATGAAAGCAAGTCTTCACTGGGTTCATCTAAAGTTAAAGATATTTATTATAGTGTTATTAGTGGAATTATTAAATAAATAGAACATGTTTCCTGTTTCATACTAACAGTGAAGGTAAACCAATGTTGCCCAATTACCACGTTCATGTTTAAACTTCCTTATTCGTCCATCATGTTCTGATGGATCATCATTGACTTCTTCATGGTGTGGAACACCTTTCCACGCTGCAATGCTTCCAGGTAAGGGCAAACTATAATATTAAAATTCAATATGTTAAACAATTGTATCAATAAAGGGAAGATATATTTTTTCGTAAATAAAAGTGTGTGTAATGTCTAATTATAAGAATTAGATTTATAAATTTAAATTAATAAATTTAATTTAAACAAGATACGTACCGCTTACAAACTTCATTGGTTTTATTTTCAATGCTATCCTTATCAACTTCATCATCTTCAGAATCAGAAACGTAGGTACTTATTAATCCCAAACCAGACATTATGTGCAAACGTTTGTATTCAATGCATTATTTTTTATTTTTTAAGGTTATATTCTT